AGCAGCAGACAAATTCCCACTTCCAAGAATTGACGATATTTTAGACCAACTTGGAAGAGCCAAATATTTTTCATGCCTAGACCTTATGTCAGGTTTTCATCAAATCGAATTACACCCAGACTCCAGAGATATAACCTCATTCACAGCCGAAAATGGCACATATAGATTCAAAAGACTACCTTACGGATTAAAAGTAGCACCAAATTCATTCCAAAGAATGATGACACTAGCATTTGCAGGCCTCAAACCATCTCAAGCATTTCTCTACATGGACGATTTGGTTGTATTAGGCTGTTCTGAAAACCATATGCTAAAAAATTTAAGAGACGTATTCTCCACATGTAGAAAATACAAACTAAAATTACATCCCGATAAATGCCTATTTTTTAGCCAAGAGGTAACTTATTTAGGACATAAATGCACAAACAAGGGAATACTACCCGATCCGAGCAAATTTGAAACAGTTCAAAATTACCCAACACCAAAAACAGCGGACGAAGTTAAGAGATTCGTAGCTTTCTGCAACTATTACAGAATATTTGTACCGAATTTCGCAGAACACTCACGAAAATTAACTAGGCTTTGCAAAAAGAATGTTTCCTTCGAATGGACAAAAGAATGTCAAAAAGCTTTTGTCTACTTAAAGGAAGCATTAGTTAGTCCAAAACTTCTGCAATACCCAGATTTCGATAAAGAATTCTGCATAACAACAGACGCTAGTGGGTACGCTTGTGGGGCAGTCCTTAGCCAAGAACACGATGGCAAACAGTTACCAATTGCCTACGCTTCCAGGTCATTCACAAAAGGTGAAATCAACAAAGCCACAATAGAAAAGGAATTGGCCGCAATGCATTGGGCCATAACCTTCTTCAGACCATATGTCTATGGCAGAAAATTTCTAGTTAAAACCGACCACCGCCCCTTAACATACCTATTCTCAATGAAGAGTCCTTCATCAAAACTGACACGAGTAAGACTCGATTTAGAAGAGTACGATTTTGAAGTGGAGTATATAGCCGGAAAGGAAAACCACATTGCGGATGCATTATCCCGCATAACAATCACAAACTTAAAAGATATGTCAGTGAAGTAAAATATTGAAAATAACAACAAGATCAGCAGCAAAAAGCATCAGCACAAGTAATACTGAAAATAAAGAAAGTCACAAAGAGAACCCCAGAATATACGAAGCGCTAAATAAATTTGAAGTAAAAAGACATGTCGAGCTCGTTTTCACTCCTCCGAAATTATATTTCAAAAAAGGAATGAAAATTTGTAGCAATTTGGATACAAGCAACCTAATTGTTGAGGATAAGATTGACTTAGGACAATTCTTTACCAGGCTTGAAAAAGAAGCCGGCAATTTAGGACTTGTACAAATACAGTTGTCCTTAGGGGACAAATTGTTTAAAATAAATTATACTGCAGTAGGCAAATTTATACAACTGGCTAACAAAGTTCTCAAAAATCTAACAATCGCACTAACCCCAGAGGTTATATACGTGACAAATCCCGGGAAAATTAAAGAAATTCTGCATAAATATCATGACGATCCTATCAGTGGTGGCCACCCAGGAATAAATCGCATGACAGACAAAATCAAGCAGAAGTATGGATGGCGGAGACACCTCCGAAGGCATTTGATATTGTACAAATCGATACAGTCGGACCATTACCGAAGTCGATAAATGGAAACGAGTATGCAGTTACCATTATATGCGATCTAACCAAATACTTGGTAGCTATCCCAGTCCCAAGCAAACACGCAACGACAGTCGCTAAAGCCGTGTTCGAGCATTTCATCTTGATTTATGGACAAATGAAAACAATCACGACAGACATGGGCACAGAATACAAATACAATTTATTCAAAGAACTGTGTAAATTGTTAAAAATTGAACATAAAACTTCAACACCGTATCATCATCAAACTTTGGGTACTGTAGAATGCAGTCACCGGACATTCAATTAATACATACGTTCATACATATCCAGTGACAAAGACGATTGGGATGAATACCTCTCAGGTATTTCGCGTATTGTTACAATACGACGCCATCTACCACACACAAATATTGCCCATTTGAACTAATATTTGCAAAAAACCCACCGAACTACGATTTCTTAAAAGAAAATAAAATCAGCCCTTTGTACAATCACGACGCTTACGACAAAGAGGTAAAATATAGACTTCAAATAGCCCAGCAAAGAGCTAGGAAATTAGTCCAAGAGGCTAAAGAAAAGCAAAAAACGAATTATGATAAAAGTAGTTATAGTAAGGAAATAAACATAGGAGATTTAGTATTAGTCAGAGAAGAGGCCTCCCATAAGTTAGAGAATAGATATAACGGACCCTACAAAGTTAAAAATAATGATAAGAATAACAATTTTACTTTAATACCACATAGCATAGGAAATAGCAATAAAAACAATAAAGAAATCATAATTCATAAGAATAGACTTAAAGCAGTATAACACCACTAGTAATAACAAAAAAAAAACACAACCAAACAATAAGCACTCCAGTTTACTCATTTGGTTAAACAGGCACACAAGCCAAAGAAACAAAATATGACACATCATGTTCTAAAAAAAAAAAAAACGAAAAGTCAGCAAAACATAACACATGTAAAACAAATGTAAACACAAAGAAAGAAAAAAAAGAAACCATAACAAACACTTCATGCAATAATGGCAATATGAGCCGAAAAGCAATTAAAATTTTGTAAGCGCAACTAAGCCTTAAGTAGGTCATTAAGTCGTTAAAAATGGATATATAGAATTGACTGCAATTATATAGATCCATTTTTTTTAAGGCGGAAGGTGTAGTATTACAGTAAATACACCACTCTAATGCATTTACAAATATCGACCGCACACGATATCAATGCCATCATGACCCACATAAGTCATAATGAACTCAGCGGGAATTCAACACCAAACGTTCAAAGGCACAGTTCAGCTTACACTTGCCAATTGCATTACTCAAGACAGGCACACTGACCAACTCACGTGACGATCAGCTTAACAGATCGTCAGCGTCAGTTTGGCAGTGCGACTGCCAAAATAACTATG